TCTACAGAAAAACAAAAAAAAGAGGAGGTCAACTGGTCGTGTGGTGCACAGTTTGCCGCTTCCTCTAGCGTACTCTCACCGACATAGGAGCGCAAAGAGAATGACCTGTCAAGCCTAGCGTTGGAGTCATGAGGGAACTGACATGACGAGGCGAATAGCACCTTATCCTCTCGAAAACCGAAGACTTCACCTCGCCCACACAAAGTAGTGCCGAGCGAGAGAACAACCGCCTTCACGAAGAGCCATTACAGTGTCGCGCGCACGGTCACCATACTTGAGAGAATTAATTTCTGTTGTTATAGATAACTACTGTCACAAAAACAGGATACATTCTAACCTTCTTTGCTTAGGTTCCCAATAACATAAGAATTAAGACAAATCTGTGAAAACATTTGATTTCTTACCTCAGCGTTAATAACATTTCCTCGAAGAGTGCCATTGCAACATTTAGGGTAGGGCGGCAGGTAGGCATAAGATCCATCAAGTCCTGATCCCCTGAAGTCGACTGTAGGCCTCCCAAAGGAGGCTGTTCCCTGAATGGACACAGTTGGCAAGGCTTGCCGATGTGGTCAACACCATTTCCCAAATCCGGTCGGAAGCTTGTTGAAGTTTTCTGGAATCAATCCTGAGCAGCAGCTGGCGGGCATAAGGTGCGAGCACCGAGTACCCAGAAGGAGGAGAGAGTGCACTTACATAGCGCGCCTCGACCATTTGTGTTGGTCTTTAATCAGACGATGTAGTGCACTATCGCATCGGAGTGTCACTCCGGAGCAGACGAGGAGCTCTGATAAGCACGTAACACTTGAGTTCCACAGCATATGTACAAGCCTTCACCAAGCTGGCTTAGTCTTGAACGGGAGACACGCGGCATCATGGGCCTAGCCCGCTGCTGAAAGTAATAACCACTAATATTTCCACCCACATCCAAATCGCCATGTTTCTTTGGAGTAGAGTCACCACGCTACGAAGCGAAGTTTGCATATATCATGTAAACCCTTATAACACAATATTGCAGAGGAAGAGAGATTGTAATTATCGGCGAGACTCCGCCCCCTACGGCTTCAAGATAGAAAATGCCTTATGCTGTTACTTCTTGCTTATAGAGGTCGGCAAGATCATTCCGGTGTCTATACTAAAAGCCTCAATACAAGTTCGACCAATCACTCTGCATAGTCGACTCCCCTCTGCCAGTATCGAGGAGTATACAACCGAGGTATCTCAGGTCTACCTCTAATTCCCTACTGCACACGCACTGCTGCTAGTATAGGACATACGTTACTCCTATCCTTCTTTGCTTGTTAGTGGATAATCTTTATTCCAGTCAGCTCGGATATTCTATGACTTAGAGAGTTCTGAAATTACTTTTCCGTAGCAGAGAGAGCGACTAGAGCGTAGGTGTTAAGATAAGAATGCTCGTAACGCCCATTCTCGTGTGTGTGTTAATATCCTATTCTTTGAGTATTGTTATTAAATCGAAACAATGCAACCGAAATAATTCAATAATGGTAGAGAACTGAGGCAAAGGTGAACAAAATTGAGCTTTATAAAAGCCTCTCTTTTGACTTTTAAACTCAATGTCAACTGACTCTTTAATTAATGCAACATTGATCTGAGCAACATTCTCCTTCTCCTATTGAAAACTATATCTCACAGTCCGTACATATGCTCTACATTCACCCACAACACGGACGAGCCAAAAGTCTATCCCACTCTCTACAACACGTGCGCATCAACTCCACATTGCCTACGAACTACCTGAGGTACCAGGCGATGCTCTTCTGGTCTGCCTCCTCACATGTCATGTACTAGCCGCAATATTATAGTTAATAGAGAACATTTTCTTACAGACTCACAGCCACAGACTGTTTAAAAAATAGGAAGTCGGGAGTTTACATAAATGGCCTTCATTTATTAGGTCACATAATACCAAGCAGAAGTGGATATACAACCAGAGAGATTTATTTAACTGCTTTTCTCAACTCATCAAAAATGTATTGAACAAGTGAAGTAGTAAAGCATGTGGCATCACGCGGATCTGGGATTGGTGCCGACACGCAGACTGTATATTGACCTTTCAGATAAGAATGACAAAAACAACACCCAACCACGTTCTGATAAGCCATCTACGGTAATATCCATTCCAATCCCGCAGTCTATTTAAACCTTAATAAACTTTAAATATCAATATATGTATCATTTTTCAAATACTTAATAGAGTTCATCAAAAAAAACTACCATGATGGATATGCAACATTTGTGAAGGCGAGTGTACAAGCTATAAAGAGAACAGAAGTTAATTGCATGAGAATTATTTTATGCCTTTTAGTAGATGAAATCGAAAAAAGATTTGGTGGAATCTGATTAAATAATGACTAACGTAAATGGCTTGTGAACAAAAGAAAATCTATACATTACACAAAATTCTTAAGTCTATGCACAGAAAAGGATAATTTTATGCCATCTCACGCTAGTATATAAAGTTAAAAGGTTTTATGTTTTAGGCGACCCAGAGAGGCCATGCGAGACAGACTGAAAAAGGCTGCCATCAACAAAGTTTCCATATCTATAGAGGTTTTGCTTTAAATACTCCGAGAGTGTTATTTCCTCCTTGGCCTCCCATCATCTCAGTTGCCTCCAGATATGTAAAGGCCAAGGACTATGAGAGCGAAAAGAAAAGATACAGTCACTGATTCGCCTTTCTGCAGGCAGCAGTCTTCTCAATATCCCATCAGGGATATTTCTATTAGTCTCCAAAGGAACAGAACGGCTGAACTGTGCAACAATGCATTCTGAACTAAGAAGGGTGCTAGGAACGAAGAAGTCTGTTGGATAAGAACAGGGAGGGTATAAGCAACTGCCGAAATCACTAGCAGCCAGTCCATTTACAGTACATGAAATTTACATGGACCTATGTAGGAGACCTTCATCCGACCTACTTACAGAATGCAACAACAGCTATATATGAGACAGTATGAAGCAAGAAAAAAGAAAGTTTTTAGGATAACAGAATATCAGCAACAACCAGATATAGACTGAAGGATGATTTTTTGTTAGTATCTATATTTATAATACTCACTATAGAGCAGCTAGTGCTACAAAGCCAGTGATTGAAAAAAACAATGGGAAATACTAACAATTTGACTCCAGCCTACCCAATAGAAGCTAAGTGGGATTCTCATCCCTGACTAATGATCATAATGAATAAGAAGTTTGACCATCATTGAATATACATTTTTCGGTGATGTTTTCTGATCTCTAGGATAACTGTCCATAATTTAAATCTATAATCGAACAGATGGATATAACTTATGAAACTTTATGAACGGAGTATTTTCCAGTAGAAACTGAAAAGCAGCTATTATATGACTATATTTATAGGAAAAAAGACAAATCTCACCTAACATACAATTGTAATCCCTTTTAATTTATTAAATTATTTTAATTAGAGTCAATTACTCTAGTTTCACAAAAAAATTTGCTTTATTTCTGTATCCTACAAGGGTTCTGAAAAAATCATCTTTTTCATACAATAGAATCATTTTCTAGAAAAAAATATTTATTTTAAAAATCAAACAAAACTTTTAAAAAAAAAAGATAAAGTAAGGTCTGTTACATTTGAATTGCATTTATTCTTTTTCTGTTGTTCCAGAAGAACTAGGTCCATAGAGTAGAATTTTTTGTTGTACTGATTTTTTTTTTCCAAAAAGCATAAGTACTTTTCAGTCATTGAAGGTGTCTAAAATGGAATGGATTCTTTTATTGGAACCACTAAAACTAGTGCTACACAATGCCTTTATTGGGATTGTTACTTTGGGAATTCATGCTTTAGGTAGAAGGTTGTGCTGGATGGCCATTGCATACATGGATGGGATCACTCTGCATTATTTCTTGCAATTGCATGTGAGACTACAATTATCTCAAAGTTTAATTTAAAAAATCATAATTCATGTCCCATTCATTCCATTGCAATAAATATTCAGAATGTTGAATAACTTTTTTTTTTTATTTCAATATGTTTAGGGGTACAAGTGGTTTTTTGATCCATGGATGAATTGTATAGTGGTGAAGTCACGGCTTTTAGTGTACCCATCACCTCAATAGTATATGTTGCACCTGATGGGTAATTTTTGATCTCTCACTCCCTTAGCCACCCTCCTCACTTCTGAGTCTCTAAAGTCTATTATACCACTTTGTATGAACACATATACACATCACTTAGCTCCCCTGTGGTATACACAAACACACACACACCCCCCACCACATTTTCTTTATCCATTCATTAATTGATGGGCTCTTAGGTTGATTACATATCTTTGCAATTGTGAATTGTATTTCAGTAAACATACAAGTGCATGTGTCTTTTTGATCTAATGACTTCTTTTCCTTTGGGTAGATCCCCAGTAGTGGGATTGCTAGATTGAATGGTAGGTCTACTTTTAGGTCTTTGAGGAATCTCCATACTGTTTTCCAAGAGGTTGTACTAATTTATAGTCCCACCAACAGTGTATAAGCATTCCCTTTTGACCTCATCAGCACCAACATCTAGTGTTTTTTGAATTTTTAACAATGGCCATTCTGACAGGGGTAAGGTGGTATCTCATTGTGGTTTTAATTTGTATTTCCCTGATGATTACTGATGTTAAGCATTTTCTCATATGTTTGTTGGCCATTTATATATTTCCTTTTGAAAAATGCCTGTTCATGTCTTTTGCATACTTTTTAATGGGGTTATTTGTTTCTTTCTTGCTGATTCATTTGAGTTCCTTGTAGAGTCTGGATATTAGTCCTTTTTCAAATGTATAGTTTTCTAATACATTATTTAACTCCAGCTCATCTGAGGGATAGTCACCCATGATCATGTGAAAAGAACTCTTATTGAAAGTAATATTTTGAGAAGCAAAAACACTAACAGAATATCAGGTTATTTGATTATTCTCAGTTGGATTTTAATGTGCTTGAAAAATGTGCCTATTATATGTAATTAAAAAAATTTTTTTTCCAGCCTTTTTCTCATCGTTCTCATCATATCAGATGCTATGGCTTTGGTAAGGCATTATTGGATAATCAGTATGAATAAGATTGAGAAACTTAAATGCTGAGTTAATTTAATCAAGAGAAATATGAATATGTTTCTGTATGTGAAATCTTTAGATATTGAGTTCTAAGTGCAGGCATAATTTACACATATAAATTACTTTCTTTTTATGTTAGTTATCCAGTAAGAGTGTTCTTCTTAAGGTGTCGAAAGTCTTAATACTTGATTTATTCAATCTGTCATTTTATATCTACTGTTCCATGTTCCTTTTGTATCTGAAATGAACCTTTCAAAAGAAATCAACAGAAAAAGCTAACTTTAGATTTAGATAATATTTCATTTTCTGATTGAAATGTTGATTTTTAGCCCTTCTCTCAGATTAAAAAAGAAAGGAAAGGGCAGGAGGGAAGGGAAGAAAAAGGAAATACAGCTTTTCAATTGGGAAGATGTTATCAACATGTAGCTATAATAAATAAGTTCTGAGTGAGGAATGTTAACAAAAAGAAGAATGTATTTTATGTCTGCAAGTTTGGGGATTCCGAGATCCACCCTCAGGTTCAATAATTCACTAGAAGGATTCACAGAACTCACTGAACACTATTATATTCACAGTTATGGTTTATTACAGTGAAGTGATACAGATTAAAATCAGCCAAGGGAAGAGACGCAGAGGGCGGAGTCCAGGAGGACACCGAATGCAGAGCATCTGTTGTTTTCTCACTGTGGAGTCAGGACAGCATTCCTCTCCCAGTATCAATATGTAACAATACACACGGACTATTGCCAGATACCCGAACTTTGGTGTCCAGACTTTTTACAGGGGCTTGATCACATACTGCCCACACAGCTGACCTTTAATCTTTAGTCCTTCCATGGGTAGAACCAATACACATGGCTCAAAGCCCCAATCATAAATCAATTGTTAAGACTGTCTGGTGGCCAAGGCTCTAGGCAGAACTTCTACTGGGAATGACATTTCAAGGACCAAGAAATCAGCCCTCAGGAGCTGAAAACAAAGGCCAGAGCTCTTTTTGAGTAAGGTTAATCCTTTACCATATAACATCCCATGCTACAAGTGACTACACACACCTATCAGGGTAACTTCCCAATCAGATTCCTAGTGGCTCAATTTAGATAAGAGCATTTTTGGGTTATGGAACTGTGTATCCAATATATTCTGAAATTGACCACACATAATGTAAGAACAAAGCAGCTTTAATTTTTGCTCACAAAGTGGCAAATAAGCAAGACGTGAATAGAGATTAAAATTCTCTGATTAATTTTATAGAAAGGGATTGCTTAATTTAACTTTTAAAGCCAGTTGCTTCTGCTTACTTGACTGGCATCATCTCTTACCTCTCTCTCTTTATTTTTCCTACACTTCCCTTACTTTGAACCTACCATGGTCTACCTGGACTCTCTCAGTATTTATATAGGCTATTTCATCTCTCAGACACTTCTGTCTCCCCAACTTCTTCTTTCATCTGACTCCTGATTTTCGCTTAGATTTCACCTTTCATTGGAAAACCTTCCCTTCTACCCCAGTCAGTGTATGTACCCCTTCCTCTGTGCTCCCATAATTGCCTGTGTTTTTTAATGAGAATAGTTACTCTTCTCTTGCACTTGGATGCGTGCACACACGCTCTCTCATGCATGTGTGCACATACACGCATATACACATGCCTGATAATTTGACTGAATCACTCACTAGATCATATGCCTTGTGAGGGGGAATTTATCAGCACATAGTAGTCAGTCAGTAAATATTTATTGATGAATGAATGATATAGCTTCTTTCCCTAACATCTTTGATATTATTTAGTGTCTTTTACAAAAGTTGACTGATTCTTCTTTATTTCTAGTTATTCACAGGTATCACTTTTGTGTCCATTTGATTGAATGATAATTCTGTTTCTGGATTTTAGACTATTGCTCATTTTAATCTGAGCAAAAATTTCAGTAAATGGACTATTTTTGTTGATTCTAGTCAGATAGTAGTTCTGAAGGATCAGAAATCTGTAACGTACAATCCAAAAACAACTTTGGTTTTAGACCGACTCTAACTAGCTTTGTTTTTAATGTAGCCATATTTCTTTTTATTTTATAGCACTTTTTCTTCTTGGTCAAGGATTATGGCAGCTGGCTTGATATTGGAACAAGGTATAGTATATATAGTCGTGCATCACTTATCAGTGGGGATATGTTTTGAGAACTGTGCCATTAGCTGATTTTGTCACTATATGAACATCATAGAGAGTGCATACATAAACCTGAATGGTGTAGCCTACTATATGCCTAGGCTATGTGGTGTAGCTTATTGCTTCTAGGCTACCAACCTGTACAGATTGTTATTACACTGAATACTGTAGACAATTGTAACACAATGGTAAGTACTTGCATATCTAAACATACAAAAGATACAGTAAAAATACAGCATAAAAGATTTTTAAAATATGGTACATCTGTATAGGGCACTTGCCATGAATGAAGCTTGCAGGACAGAAAGGTGCTCTGTGTGAGTCAGTGAGTGAGTGGTAAGGGATTGTGATGGCCTAGGACATTACTGTATAGTTATGCTATACTATATGTATCAAAAAATTTTTTTTCTTTCTTCAATAATGAATTAACCTTAGCTTACTGTAACTTTTTTGCTTAATAAACTTTTAAATTTTATTTAACTTTTTGACTTTTTTGTAATAATACTTCCCTTAAAATACAAAAATCGTATAGCTGTACAAAAGTATTTTCCTTCTTTAAATCCTTATTCTATAAGCTTTTTTCTATGTAGACATTTTTTTGTTTGTTTTTTTGAGACAGAGTCTCACTTTGTTGCCCAGGCTAGAGTGAGTGCCGTGGCATCAGCCTACCGCACAGCAACCTCGAACTCCTGGGCTCAAGCGATCCTACTGCCTCAGCCTTCCGAGTAGCTGGGACTACAGGCATGCGCCACCATGCCTGGCTAATTTTTTCTATATATATCAGTTGTTCAATTAATTTCTTTCTATTTATAGTAGAGACGGGATCTCGCTCTTGCTCAGGCTGGATTCGAACTGCTGGATTCAGTTCGAATCCTGACCTCGAGCAGTCCACCCGCCTTGGCCTCCTAGTGCTAGGATTACAGGCTTGAGCCACCATGCCTGGCCTTAGAAAAATTTTTTTATTTCACTTTTTCAACTTTTTTGTTAGAAACTAAGACAAACACACATTAGCTTAGGTCTACACAGGATCAGGATCATCAATATCACTGTCTTCCATCTCCACATCTTGTCCCACTAGCAGGTCTTCAATGGCAACATGCATGGAGCTGTCATCTCCTGTGATAACAATGCCTTCTGGAATACCTCCTGTAGGACCTACCTGAGACTGATTTATAGCTTACTTTTTTTTAGTAAGCAAAAGGAGTATACACTAAAGTAATAATAAAAAGTATAGTAAGTATAGAAACCAGTAACATAGTTGTTTATTATCAAGTGTTATGTATTATATATAATTTTATGTGCTATGCTTTTATATAACTGATAGCACAGTAGGTTTGTTTACACCATCATCACCACAGACATGAGTAATGCATTGAATTGCAACAACATTACAATGGCTGTGATGTCAGTAGATGACAGGTATGTTTCAGCTTTATTATAATCTTTTTTTAAATTTATCATTTTATTTTATTTTATTTTTCCACAGAGCTACCAGAAGATATTTTTAGAGACAGGGTCTCTTTCTATTACCCAGGCTAGTGTGCAGTGGCATGATCATAGCTCATTGTAATCTTGAACTTCTAGTCTCAAGTGATCCTCCTTGCTCAGCCTCCCAAGTAGTTAGGATATAGGCATGTGACACTGCTCCTGGCTAATCTATTATAATCTTACGGGACCAGTGTTGTATGTATGGTCCATTGTTAACTGAAATGTTATGTGGCGCATAACTATACTCACATAAAAGTTATTAAGAGTGCCGTGAAAAAATAAAAATATCTTAGGATAGAAGATATCACTATGATTTTGAGGTAGGCATAGTAAGTAGCAATTCACATCTCTTCAGTTTTTGACCTTAACACATTAGCAGGTATTTTCTTGGTAGACTGTAGGGAGGAGGATAGATGTTAAGTCTGGAGAGAACTAAAGGACAGTGGAAGATGCAAGAGAAATTGCTTGACTCTGGGATTTCAAAGTAGATCACTCTAGTGTCTTTGTGTGGTTTCTTAATCTCTCAATCTCTGTTTATGAAAATAAGCCTACTCAATTTGCAGTGTGAATTTTGTGTGGTGGTTTAAATTTCATGTAATCATTCTTCTGCCTCTTAGAATCTTTAATATGAGAACATTTTAACATGCGATACCTGTAACATTATTTAAAGTGTAAGCTGAAGAAAGTCAGTTTCCTCTGTATTGTGATTTGAATGTCAATGATCATCATAATCTGCTAAATTTCTTCTTTTTGAGAAAAAAGAAAACAAAGTTGATCCTTTGGCTTTTGTTCCCCCAAATTCATTCTGAGATGGATTCTAGATCTGATTTGAATCTCTTGCATGCCATATTTGCTTACCATGTAAAAAATACTCCATAGATCACTGATTTTTGTTTTTATTTGTCTCTTAAATTTGAAAGCTTAGGGGAAGTTTTGATATCTCCTTCTTCTCACCAGCTCTCTCATTCCAAAGTATCCAAGCAGATAATGGGTCACTGGCTTTAGATTAGTGCACCTGGATTTGAATCCTATTTCTGTCACATTTTAGCTATGAGACCATTGGTGAGCAACCGAATCTTTCTAAGCCCACTTTTCTCTTATAGTCATTTTGAATGAATTAATTGATGTAAAAAATTTAGCATAGTGCCTAGCATCTAATAATCTTCAATAAATGTCAGCTACTACTATTATTGTTTTGTAGTTCTATGTTTTTGCCCTTCATAGTATTTCTTGTATTGTCTCTTATTCTTGACATACTCTCTTTAATTTGATTAATTTGTTTTCATTTTAGACATAGATCAGAATTTTATTTGTTTGGAAAATATTCTGATAAAATATACCATTTTTGTGTGTGAGACTTCTTGTTTTATTTTTAATTGTGGTAAAATATACATAATAAAATTTACCATCGTAACCATTTTTAAGTCTACAGCTCAGTAAATTAAGTACATTAACATGATTGTGTAACTATCACTAACATCTGTCTCCAGCATTCTTTCCATCTTGTAAAAATGAAAATCTGAACCCATTAATCACTAACTCCCTGTTCTCCCTACCCTAAGCCACTGGCAACCACCATTCTACTTTCTGTTTCTATGAATTTTACTACTCTGGGTATCTCATATAAGTGAAATCATATAGTATTTTTGTCTTTTTGTGACTGGCTTATTTCACTTAGCATAATGTCCTCAATGTTCATTTATATTGTAGCATGTATCAGAATTTCCTTCCTTTTAAAGGCTGAATAAAATTTCATTATATGTATATACCATATTTTGTTTATTCATTCATCTCTCAATGGATACTTGGGTTGTTTCTACCTTTTGGTTATTGTGAATAATGCTGCTGTGAGTGTTGGTGTGAAACTTTTTTGATGGGAGAAATCTAAATTGGTTTGGCTCTAAAGAGGTGCCAAGGAATGAAAAGGATATAATTTCCACAGGAAAATGCATCATTAATTTATAAACAACATTATTAAATTATATTGCACTAATTAAGAATTTCATATTTTCTCCGATTAGTTTGAGGTTTATCTATACCTGGAGTACTTTTTCTTCAAAGTAAAAATTTTTACTGTTATTACTGTTGATAATGTGTATACAGTACAAAGCACCTTTTCATATTCATGATCTCAAGTTGATCCTGCAAATATTTATTAGGCACCAACTGTATGCCAGGGCAGTTGTTGGGGATGAGAAACACAGTTCTGGGCTCTCAGGGAGCTCAAGACTGGAGGAGGAAACGGACTTGTGGGCAGGTGATATGGTGCACTTTGGGAAGTTCTAGAATAGTCTGTCTCGTTGATATTTAGGGTGTCCAGGGGGACACTTAGGGCATCTGTCTCAGCCTTGCAGGGTAAGGGAAGGCTTCTCAGGGGAGAAGCAATTGAATTCAATTGAGCTGGGCTTTGAATGAAAGGTATAATTAGGGGACTTAGAGATTTGGAAAGAGTGTTTTAGACAGACAGAATGGACATGAGCAAAGCTATAGAGGTAAAAAACACCCCAATACATATGTGTGATAAATAATTTGTATTTCAGAAACCATGGGTTTTGGATAAAGAAATTTCTAGAAAACAGTCTCTGGGAGGCATAACTTGGAGAACCTTGAATACAAAGCTACAGTATACATTCCATTGGCATATAAGTGAAGAGCCATATTCTTTGGTTTATTTAAGCTTCAGTATCTTAAACTGATAAGAACAGATACTACACTTGATCTTAGCCAAACGGCCGAGAAGCACTGAGCTTCAGTATTTTAGATGTTACTTCCACAAGTGATTGCCTGGGAGTTAGAAGTCTTGACAACCTTTTTTAGTCCATGGAGTGGGGAGTGGGGTGGGATGTGTGCCTGGAAATGGAGACACTAGCTGAACCAGCACAGTCAGGGTCATTACAAGTGTCCTTATGTGTTCCTGGCATCATACCTCAGCAGCTACTCTTCAGTTCTATTTTGATATGCTGAAATCATTATGTACCTCTAGGCGTAGTTTTTCCTCTTTCCTTCAAGGTTGGATCTCCCAGGTTGCAGTGATGTTGCAAGGCCCTTCACCATGTCATAGTACTTTGCACAAAGCCAAATTGCCAACTTTTACCTTCTTTCTCCTTAATAGATTTTTTTTTCATTTTTAAAAACTTGTGGTATTTTACCCATAACATAATATTTACTATCTTAACCATTTTAAAGTACACTGTTTAGTAGAGAGTATATTCACATCATTGTGCAATCAATCTCCAGAACTTTTTCATCTTGCATAACTGAAACTCTATGCCTATTACATGATGCCTCCCCATGTTCCTTTCCTCCCAGTCCCTGGCAACCACAATTCCACTTTATGTTCCTGTGAATCTGACTATTCTGGGTACCTCATATTTAGCATCTTTTCTTATACTTGTTGGCCATTTGTGTATCTTCTTTGGGGAAATGTCTCTTAAGTCATTTTGCCATTCTTGAATTGTGTTATTTGTTGTTTTG